GTTCGTGAGCTCCCGAGCGAAGTGAACCCCACCCTGCCCCTCAGAAATCGTGGGGTGTAGGGGTAGGGTTCGCACGTGGCCCCCTACAGGACCAGCTCTGCAGTCGTCGTGCTCCCATACAACGAGCGCCGAATTAAGGAACGCAGGGGCTTGTATGGCCCCGGCGAGCCTCGGCCACGAAGAGGTTCTCCGACCAAGGCCTGCTGGGGGAGAGGCCCGAGAACCAGAACCCCCTCCTGCGCCCAAGATTTTCAGGCGATCGCAAGCATGGATCAACTCCTCCTCTTCCTCCTCCTCCTCCTCCTCCTCCTCCTCCTCCTCCTCCTCCGCCTCCGCCTCCTCCTCCGCCTCCGCCTCCTCCCCTCCTCCTCCTCCTCCTCCTCCCCCCTCCTCCTCCTCCTCCTCCTCCTGCACTTCGGTTACGCTCCACCTCCTCCTCCTCCTCCTCCTCCTCCTCCTCCTCCTCCTCCTCCTAAGGGGGCGTGGATTAGCGACGGGTCCCGTTTCCATGGGGAATCGCGGATTCCCGCCGCCGAACAGGGCTGCATTGGCCGCCACATTTTTGGGAGGGCGCCTTCCCCCTATCCAAGGATTTGGCGACCCCGCGCCAAATCCATGGATCGCTACTTAATCCATGTCTGCGCGCCCCCAAAAGATGGTCCTTACTTCAGCGTCATGGCTGCACCAGGTCGGTCGGCACATACGGCCAGGGGCTGTCGCTTCGCGTGTTGCGTCGGCGGCCCCGGCGACACGCTCCGTGCTGTGCAGGTGTGGATGGCCTGTCGCTCCGCTCTTCGGCTAGACGTAAGAGTGACCTTTCGCCGGAGTGACCTCTGGTGCGGGCCCAAATGGGTTCCCCAATCGCCGAACGCGCTGCGATATAAGCGGCTTGCGCGCTTGGGTGTTGCTTCCCCTCGCCCCCCGAATGCCGCGCACCAGAGGTCACCCTTACCCAAGGTCACTCTTGCGTATAGCCGAGTTCTGCGGGGCGGGAGGTCGGGAAAGGCTCGGGACGCTGACGCTGGGGGACCGAGAAGTATAGGGTGCGTGTCGCGCCGAAGAGCGTGGTGGGCCAGAGCAGGCGGGGCGACACGCGGAGCCAAAGTGCTGAAGCGTGTACCGAACTCTCTGATCTCCAGCGGCCACTCGGGAAGACCCGTGCACCCCCGGAACCTTCTCTCGGCTTATGTTGCTCCCATCGTCATTAAGGACCACATCCCAGAAATAATTTCGAGCACCCGGAAAAGTGTCGAAATAGTGTCGAAAGAGCGTCGAAACAGTGTCGGACGAGTGTCTCCCAGGGCCCGATGCGCGAAAACCCTAGAGTTTTGGCACCTGTTTGGGTGCTCGAAATTCTTTCCGGTGATCCAGGCTAAAGTAGGTTGTAACATCATAACTCGGCGTGGCGCAGCTGCTGGAGAGCACCCCGAAGCCGAAAAGCCGCCGCGAACCAACGAATACCCCCGAAAGACTTGAATTTCAAGCGCCCGAAAATACCAAATTTCGACCCCGAACTGAGTTTCTCGCGTCACGGTCAGGAATTTGTGCATAGCGCGTCGCAGCGGCGGCCGCAGCGACACGCGATGCCCTGCGATCGGAGAACTTCGAACGCCCGAAGACGCGGAATTACAATAGAAAGCAATGTGCAAATCGCGCCACGTCTGATCAAATTCGATCAGATGAGGAACCATGTGTAATTCAATCTTAAACATACTCCCAGCAGGCCCGGAGCCACCCGACGGGCCGGAGCCACCTCTCATGCGATCGCATCGGGACGGACCCATCGCTAACGGAATCCTCCCGGGACTGCGACCTCGAACTCAGCCCAGCGCCCGGGCCTCAGGGTTTGGCAACCCCCGTGAGGCTTGCCGCACGCCACCCCCCCTCTCCTGAGGCGGAGAAGTATTTGTGCCCAGCCCCGGACATGCGACGCCCTGGTTTGCGAGAAGGTATTTGCGAGTAGGGGAGCGCGCTTGTTTACCCAGACATGCGACGTCTTGGTTTTTTAAGTATGGGGTCCCTGGGAGTCCCGACACTTTGCCCCGGGACCGGTTTTTCCTCCTGCGTCTTCTTGTGGACGGTCCCGGGGTTCGGCGAGGGCCCCCCGAGGCCGAAAGTGGCCAGAAACCTCCCGTCCTGATTGAGGCGATCATGTCTGGGGCGCAAGGGGAATGGAATGGGCTGGAATGGGCTCCATCGTGGTGCGATACACGAAGATGTGCAAGAAGTAGGCGAACTTCGGGAGCAAATCATACCCTCTCAATTCCGTTTCTAGCGTCGACTAGCGTCGGTTAGCGTTTGGGAATCGATGACATAGCGCCGATATTGCGTCAATGAGCTCCGATGTGCGTCGATCTAGCGTGGATTCGAGTCGACCAGCGTCGATTCGCAAGAGCCGGCAAGATGGTATGGGAGTCTCCCATGGGTTGCCACTGGAAACCGAGCCCGCAGTATGGATTCTGAGTGGACTCTGGATGGATGTTTCCATCCGGGGCGTGGATTTGCACATGGATTTCGCGGTGCGAGCCATAGAAGATAAAAAAAACCCTCACGGGTCGATCGGGCCCGAGCAACGGATCAGAAAATGGAGTCTCCAGGTGGGGATTTCTTATGATGTTGAAATTGGGGCCTCATGCCAAATCGAAGGGGAGAGCTGTGGATGCGGGGAGGGGAGAGGGGGAAAGGGGGGGGGGCAGGGGAAGAGATGGGGGGTGGGAGGGGGGGGCGGAGGGGGGGGGAAGAGAGGGGGATGGCGGGAGGGGGGAGGGCAAGCTGGGTGCGCAAGCGTCTTATCTGACGTCCTATCCCTCCCCCTCCCATCCCTTACCATGGCGTAGATATCCTCTTTATCTGCGCAGTAGTATGACATAACATGTCGTTGAATATCAACGCGTGACATGACGTAGCATGGCGTGGCCTTGTGTAGTCAAGCACTGCATATCAGAGCATTACAGTTGAAGGGATGGCATCGCACAGCGGAACACGCCAGTTTATTTCATCTCATGCCATGGCATGGCACTGTACATGAGACCATCGCTGCAGCGGGAGCACGAATCGGAACGAGCGGAAGCACGGAATTTAGGTCAGCGCTGCAGCGGGAGCACGATTCGACACGAGCGGGAGCCCGAGAATGAGGCCAGCGCTCTGCAGCGGGAGCTATATTTGGAAGGACCGAAGAGAATCGGATGGACAAAAACACATACAATTGGGGCCCTGAAGAAGGAACCCTTTTCGTTGGGGAGGGGCTCCGCGTTCCTTACGTGTTTCACAGCTTGCCTCAGGTTTTCCTTATGTTTTCGACAGGAAATCGAAGGTTAACTTATGGATAAAAGGGGCCTCGTTCCTTATTTAGGGTTCCTTAGGTCAACGCCCCGACTGTATGAACACCACACTCCAGGCAATCCTGCGTGCAAACAAACAATGTGCGGAGGGGTGCCGCCCGTCTCCCGCACAGACTCAGGGGAGAGAGGAGAGTAGTACTATTCGTATTGTGTAACTGTGATAGGGGGAAGGGGGTGGGAGGAGGAGGGAGAGAGAGGCGGAGGGGGAGGGGGAGGGAGGGGGAGGCGGAGGGGGAGGTGGAGGGGAGCGGGGGAGGGGGAGGGAGGGAGAGAGTGGGAGGGGGCAGGGGGAGAGAATGGGGGAGGCGGAGGGGGAGAGGGAGAGAAGGGGAGGGGGGAGGGGGCAAGCTAGGTGCGCTCGCGTCATATCTGACGTCCTACCTCTCCCTCCCATCCCTTACCATGGCGCTGATTTTCTCTATCCGCGGACGCGTGTCGTAGCGGACCTGTGGCTCCGCGCGCGCGTGCGTAGTGGGTGGTGGTGCGCGTGCGTGCGTGCGTTCGTGTGTGCGAGGTTGTAGTGGTGGTGCTGGTGCTGGTGCTGGTGCTGGTGCTGGTGCTGGTGCTGGTGCTGGTGCTGGTGGTGGTGGTGGTGGTGGTGGCGGTGGTGGCGGTGGTGGTGGTGGTGCGGCGCGGTGGTGGCGGGCGGATGGGCGCGCGAGAAAGAGGCCCGCGCTGGGGCGAGAACGCCATCCTGAACGACGGAGGCCAAACACCGATCCGAAAATGAGGCCCACGCTGCAGCGGGAGCACGATTCGGAACGATTCGGGAGCAGAAATGAGGCCGGCGCCTCAGCGAGAGCAGCAGTTTGAAAAAAACGCAGGCGAAAACCCAACTCCCGGGAATCCTGTGTGTTAAAAAACAGTGCGCGGGGTGGGGGGTGTCGGCCACCCCCAGCACGCCATCAGGGGAAGAGGGAGAGTAGTATTCATATTGAGTAATTGTAGAGGGGGGGACAAAGGGGGAGGGGGAAGAGTGTGGGGAGGGGGAGGGGGGGAGGGGGGGGGGGGACGCGCGCGCCCGCGCGCGCGCTCGGCCGCCCGCTTGCGCCCCCGCACAGCCCGCACCTTCAGACGGGGCGCAGAGGAAGGGCGCAGAGCACGGAGGGACTCTCCCAGACAGGATCGCGTCGCAAAGCGGTGGTCAGGACGGGAGGTTTTCGGCCGATTTCGACCTCGAGGGGCCCTCGCCGGGCCTCGGGACCGGCAGGAAACGGCTCAGGACGAGTGGCCGGTCCCGGGGAACGGGTCGGGATTTCCAGGGGCCCCGTGCTGAATAAAATCGGGACGTCGCATGTCTGGGGAGGAACCTTCCGCTCCTGGCCTGAGACCTGTTGCTCGCAGCGCGCGTCGTCGCCTGGTTTCCGGCCCCCGGGGCTCTCGCAGATCGAGGGCGCAGGCAGAGGAGGTCTGGGCCCCCCGTGGCGATGTGCGTCCGATGCTGCAGTTTGTTGTTTCCCCGCGCCAGATCTGAGGGTCGAGGCCCCCACTATTATACTGGGTCAACCCAAACCCGGGTCGGCCTGCGCCTTCCTCCCCCTCCTCTTCCTTCCTCCTCTTCCTCCTCCTCCCCCTCCTCCTCCTCCTCCTCCTCCTCCTCCTCCTCCTCCTCCTCCTCCTCCTCCCGGGGCGTGCTCGCGCGCGCGCGCCTCCCACGAGGTACTGCCTCGACCGGCTGGCGGGCAGCGCCGCGGGGCGTGCGCAGCACGGCGCCGGGGCGCTCCGGGCCATGTTCTCCGTGAAGGATCGGGGGGGCCCCCTGGAGGAGGAGGAGGGGGAGGAGGAGGAGGAGGAGGAGGAGGAGGAGGAGGAGGAGGAGGAGGAGGAGGAGGAGGAGGAGGAGGAGGAGGAGGAGAAGGAGAAGGAGGGAGGGAGGAGGAGGAGGACAGACCCCCTCGGGCAATGACAAAATCACGACGGGAGGTTTTTCACTCTTTTCGGCCTCGGGGGGCCCTCGCCGGGCTTCGGGAGCGTCAGAAAACTATACTCAGGATGAGAAACCGGTCCAGGGGAATAGGTCGAGACCTCCCGGGGTCGACGTAATGAAAAAATCATGGCGTCGGGGATCTGGGACTGGAGCACATACGTTACCAGTGGCGGGTTGTTTTTCAATCCTACGGCTTTTGAAGCGTCGGGGACGGCGCCAGGGTGGTATGGTGTGTATGTTGCGTCCGTCTTCCAAGGGAAGCAGGGAGAAACGTATACACCAGGATCCCGTATACACCAGTATCCGCTTTTCTGTGCGAATTCCAGTGCGGGTCAGGACAAACCGTCGGTGTATTGGGTTCGGCTCCCTAAGGTCGCCCAAATGGCATGTGTGGCACGGTCGGCCGTTTTTGTTTGAGGGCCACAAGTAATTTTGCCATGGGCTCGCGTCCTTGCCCCCTGAGAGCCAGGGGTGACGGTCAGGAATGCCGGCTTACCGTGTCGCTCCGCCGATTCTGGCCCACCACGCTTCCGCGTGACGCGATATCCGCGTCGCGATCCCCAGGCGTCAAAGTCACGAGTTTTCCCGAGCCTCCCGCCCTTCGGAGCGGAGCGACGCTCTGTCCGCTCTCAGGGCATAGCGTGTCGCTGCGGCCGCTGCGGCGACGCGCTGTGCAACACTGTTCCTGACCGTAGGGCGATTGGCTCAATTCGAGGTCGAAGTTCAGGGCTTCCGGGCGTCCGAAGTTTGAGGTTTTCGGGTCCGTTCTTGGCGGCTTTTCGGCCTCGCCGAGAGCGTTTCTGGGGGTGCCCAGGTCGTCCCCAGCGGCCGGCGGAGGCCCGAGCTATGGCCGAAAGCCAAAACTCGGCGGCGCGCCCAGGGGGGGCAATAGGCCTGAGATCCAGGGTCCGTGCCGAACTCGACAGAGGAAGCTGAGCCCTGCCTCTCATGGCCCCCTGCGCTGCATTCCGCGCCGCTGGCCCCAGGGACTCGCCAGAGGGGGTGCTTATGTGTGGCGCCACGCGCTTTGTTCTGGACCCTCCCCGGCAAAACAATAAGTCATTGCTTGCTTCATCGGGGGGGTCCTCGAAGCCTGGACGGGCGACCGGTTGATTTTTCTGATATCCCTGGTGTCTGTTGACACCGCGTTCGCCCGATGCGCTTGCACGCTTGTGCGCAGGAGTGGGGAAGGAATGGTGATTTGTTCACGCGCGTAGGTCCTTTGAGGAAGTAAGGAGTGCTCCCATGCAACGCCGAAGAAGTCGCAGTAGCTCCGAAAAAAATCGATGTTTGGTAGCTTCCTGAATGCCTGGAGGGCTCCAGGATCCAGGCATTCAGGGAATCGTCGATCGTGGAACTTCGAATCTGGATCCATTGCCTGTCGCTCTCGATCGAGGAACTTAAACCTCGAGCCTCAAGCGTGGAACCAAGATCGTCATTTCAGCTCGATGTACTTCGTAGGAAGACGCTGGGGGCTCTTTTGGGCTGTCCTGGGGCTCTCTTGGGCCGTCCCGGGGCCTTCTTGGGCCGTTTTGGGGAGCAGGGGCCATCCAGAGGCCTTCGGAAGCCATCTAAGGCCTTCGTCGGGGCCTCCAATGGCTTTCCTGGGGGTCTCCCATGGCTTTCGTGGGTCTCGGTTGGGAGCTTTGGGGGGCATCTTGGGTTTCTTGCGGGCAGTCTCGGGGCTCTCTAGGGCAGTCTTGGGGCCCCTTGGGCCGTCTTCAAACCCTCTGGTGGGCCTCTCGGGCCGTATTGGGCCGATAACGGGGGCCCATCGGGCTGTTTTGGACGCTGCGAAGTCCCAAACAGTGGACATGTTAAACGTATACATTTTCCTTCGGGGATGTGACGATGTTTGCTTCTTCGGGGCTCTCTTAACAGCCTCTTGGGGCGTCTTGGGGGGCCTCCTGGGCCGTCTTCAGACCATCGAGGTTCCTCTTGGAGCGCTCTTGTGCTGTCTTGGGTCTCTCTTGCGCCTCTCCGATGACCCTGATCGCCTTGAGTCTGCTCGCGAGGTCTGGCAAGGTGCCCATGGGAGGCCCAGAAGTGCCAGCGGACTTTTCCAAGGGCGTCCAGCGGACCGCTGAGACGTCCGAAAGGGCGTCCCTGGGGGGCGGTCTGGTTTAAGGGTGGGGGTGGTGGGGGGCTCCGGATGATAATGATATAGGGTTCGGAATGTAGATATGTGTATGCATACATCGATGCACACGTAATCCAATGTCGGCGACATCATTCGTAGGACAATTCGGGATTCCATAATGAACATGTGTTTGCACATGTGAAATCGCGTCGGGGCTACACAACGCTTCTTTTTGGGTACGTTGTGCCGTCACATGTTGAAGTGTGTTTCGAGGTTGCAAAAATCCGTCCTCTATTTTTTGACGTGGGGAAAAGAAGAAAGGGCTCGGAAAAAGGGCCTTGCGTTCGAGGATCGAAGGATCGAAGGAGCTGGCAACTCTCCCTCGGCGGAAGGCGGCGGAAGGTTGGCGGAAGTAAAACGAGGCCACCTCCCGCTGGCGGAAGTCCTGCGGAAGCCAGCGAAAGCAAAAGTCGACCTCCCGAGAGATGACCAGTTTTGTTGGATTCAAATTCGCCTCAACATGCATTTATTCGTATGTACACACACACACACCGTAAACGCGCATAGTCAAGACGCGCGCCTTTTATAGGGTACCTTTGTGTCCGTGCTTCTGCTGTCTGTTTGCCAATTTCGCTGATCACCCGTCGCCCAAACACCCCAGTTTCGGTCTCCAAGGGTCTTGCGGCCTTAGCACCCGTCCCCAGTATACGTTTTCATTGCGTATATAAATAGATGTGTATACACGGACCTGCTGCGCGCGGCCGGTTTCGGCCCCGCCTCCCTGGGCGCCTTCCGGAATGCACAAGGGCGCCGGCAGGCGCCCGCAGGAGCCAGCCGGAGGCAGCCGACTCGCGGACCGCCGCCTGCTGCTCTCACCGAGCGCGTTCCACTGCTCGCATAGTGCCGACTCGCAAACCTCCCGAACAACATGCGGGGCTCGGTGCAGTGGATCGTGAATCCACCGCGGCGGATCCGAGCCGTTTGCGAGTAGCTACCTTGCGAGCAGTGGAGCGCGCTTGTCTGGACATGCGACGCCCTGATTTTTTCAGTGCGGGGCCCCTGGAGGTCCCGGCCCTTTCCCCAGGACCGGCTTTTCATCCTGAGTCGTTCTGTGACGCTCCCGAAGCCCAGCGAGGGCCCCCGAGGTCGAGAGTGGCCAACAACCTCCCGTCCAGATGTTTTGTTGTTCTACGACGCCAGCGTGTCTGGGGAGCGCGCTTGGCGATACTCCCTGCGCTCCGACGCCTCTCGAGAGTGGACACAGCGCGAGCTTCGGCATGCGCCCTGGTTCTGTGTGCGGGCAGTACCTATATCCATATCCGGCGCGTCGTGGACTTTTCGGGAAGAGGTGCCGCAACGCCGAGGCGCACCGGATGTGGATAACATCAAGCCTCTTGGGGCCAGATGTTTATCCACATCCAGTGCGTCTACGGTTTCTGGGGAAGAGAGCCCGAGAATCCAAGACGCACCGGATGCAGATATGACTATTGCCCGCACTGTGCCCCTCGGGCGGCGCACGGGGCGCCCGCCCGCCCCCCCCCCCCCCGGTGGTCCCCGCGGACCTCGGCAGAGGCCCCCCCCCCCCCGACCGAGCAGCCGCCCCAGCGGGCCTCCACAGCCAGCATCGTTGATCCGACCCCCATCCCCGTCCCCCTCCCCTTCGAGACCCTCCAAATTACCCCCCCCCCCAGTTGGGGGATACACCCTTCGAAACCCGAAGGGGACGGCCTATATCCCCATCTGGGGGGGGTGAATCGTTTATCCGACCCCTATCCCCGTCCCCATCCCCTTCGAGAGCCCCCCCAAATTTGGGGGAACGAGCAATGACATAAACCTAAAAACTCGGAGGTCCGCGCGGACTTCTCGGATCGGCGCTGGGGCCCCCTGGCGGCGCCTCCGGCGCCGCCCCTGGCGCGCTCCGCGCGCCAGGGAGGGGGGTCCAGCGCCGATCCGAGAATTCCGCGCGGACCCGCGAGTTTTTATGTTTATGCCACTTTGTTCCCCTGAAATTACCCCCTCCCCAGTTGGGGATACACCCCTCGAAGCCCGAAGGGGACGGCCTATATCCCCATCTGGGGGGGTAAATCGGCCAGTGGGGCCCAGGCCACGCCGCTGGGGATGGGGATCGGATCAACGATACTCGTCAACAGTCCTCCCGAGCAGCCTGAAGTCGGGCATGTTCCTCCACAGGAGGAATATTTGGGAAACCAGGAAAACATACCCTGGGAATCCAATGGACTGTTTGTGATTCTTCTTATGGGCGTTCAGGATCATCTTGATCATCATCCTCGTCATCATCTTCATTATCATGCTGAGATCTCCGGGAAAACGTTTATTAGCCCGCCTGGACCCCGAACTTTATTATCCCCATGAGGATTATATCGGGAGCACAGGGTTATTCGAGTATCTAGTACAACAAATCGTATGGTTCCAGGCCTTCCAGATGGGGTGGGAGTGGATGGTGTCGCTGGATCCCGCCGCATCGCCAGTACATCGGCGATGCATCAGCGATGCGGCTCGCTGTGGGGCCCGCTTTTCTCCACGCCGACGTACGTCGCCGATGCACTGCACAAATCGCCAGTGCATGGCCGATGCATCGCCGAGGTATTGGCGATGCGGCGCGATCCTCCGACCCCATCTACGCCGACCCCATCTAGGAGGCCTCTAATGGTGACGATTTTGATGTGTGTGCGTGTGTGTGTGCGTGTGTGTGTGTGTGTGTGTGTGTGTTTGCGTG